ATGGCACCTCAGCTTCATCAAACAGTCTGTGTAAAAACATCGAATGCAACTTCAGATGCAGCTTCTGTGTTTTCTGCAGTGGAAAAAAGGAGTTTGTTGATACTGATTTCATTTGAATGGTAACAACTCTCCTGACATGGCTGCTTCAACACTAACTGCTGTTCCTGAAACCACGCCTTCTTTCTTTGCCTGCACATTTGGGCCGCATTATGCTAATATTTCCACATAGTGAGGTAGATATGTGGGGGCGTGTTAGAACGAGCCGTTTTAGGGGGGCAGGGATCTTATCTATGCACAATCAGCTTGTAACACTCCAAAGAGAAAGGAAAACTTGAAATCGCATCATATGACCCCTTTAAATCTCATTATATAACAATGCTTCTACGACTAACTTTCATTCCAGTACAGTAAAACAAAAAGCAAGTAAGGCATTTTGAGAAAGTATGCACTTTATTTTGTCTGTTTTTTTTTTATATAATCTTGCTGTAAACACATCTACATAAAACAATTTGAAAGGTGACCGTTAAAGAAGAAAACCATTGTTCAAAGAAACACACAACTGCCAAAACACCAATACTTAAAAAGGATAACAAAGTAGAAGTACAACAAAAATCTCAAAACATGAAATCTTGTAATAGTATCTCAAAAGTCAGGGCAAATCAATGAAAATCACTCTGAACACGCATTTTCTTTATATATATATATATATATATATATATATATATATCACGGCTGGCTTGATTTTCAAACTGTTGCTGGCTTGACCGCAATTTCTTACTACAGTGTATTAGGAGTGTTTTGAAAGTGCTGTAAAAAGGAGATATTTCATAATAAAATGGTCATTTACTTATTTGGAAAAAGAAAAGAAAGAAAATGTAACTATGAGAAGATATTACACTAGGTAACATGGTCACAATGTAATGTTATTCAACGACATAATGCATGAGGCAGCAAAGGTTACTGTTTTCTAAATGGAAACTGGTCGTATTCCACCAGGGGTGCTTGAAAGCAGAATCAATCATTGAGGAACAGACAGTTCATGATTTGTTTTGTATTACAGTGGACAATTGTACACCAAACTGAATAATTATGAAACTATATTCAGTCCACAGAATCGTACGTGATAGACAAAAACAGAAATCCTTCTTAATAATCTGTGCAAGATTACACATGCTGCAAAAATATAAAAAAATAAGAAATTCTGTTTGATGGAATTGATTATGTTTTAACGCTGCTGGATGTACATACTTATGTATACACCTTATGTCAAATTAGGCATACAGATTGTTTTGACATTCGTTTGCGATTATTAATGCAATATCACTTTGAGCAGAGCGTTTTCTGCGTTTCACTGCACATATGACTACAGCAACAATAAAACATATGACCATAGTTACCACACACAGAGAAATGACAAGAACTAAGTTAATGTCTGGGTTTGATATTCCTGGAGGTTTTGGAGCAGGGAGGATCTTTGAAGCTTGAGCAATGTTGGAGGTTTCAGATTTTGCTTTTTGTTTGTCCTCCGACTGAACTGCAAAGAAGAGTGTGGTGCCATTTTGGATTGTGATATTGAGATTGAATGAATGCTGTTCAACTGATCCAGCCTTCTGAGGTGAGACCGCAGTTGTGTTGACTGAATGACCATTGCTGAAGTTGAATCGAAGCATTTTAAGGTCAAAGCTCCACCTGATCTTATAGGATTTAGCTTAAAGGAAACCAACAAAAAAATATGCAGTGCAAGACAATTAAAGATACATTATTTCATGATGTAACTTTAAAACAACTTTTATTTTGTCAGCAAAGATGTTAAACAAATGAAAAACCTTTTAAAGACTGGTATAGTAATTGTATGCGTTACCTGTCCCTTGGTCAAGGTCCTCACCAGGAGCTGTCCAGTTGAGAAGCACCGTGTCCTCCTGGATCTCAGCACTCAGATCTGTGATTCTGTTAGGAGGGAAATTTGGTGGAGCTGTGCCTGAAAGAGTCACCTCAAAACTCTCTCCGGTGTCTGTTCTGGTAAAGTTTCCAGCGTCAAGTGGTTCTTCAAAAACGGGAGGCTTTGGAGGCTTCAGCTTCACTACAGTTGAAGTTAGAGGAACCACCTGAATTTATTATTATTATGTTTTTCTCCACACAGCTTTATAGGTAATTACAGTATATTGCCATTTAAACAACAGTTAGTTCCAGTTTGTGCATTAATTCATTGACTTTCTGTGGGTTACACCAATAAAGTGTCTTCATGAGCAGGGCCGCATTAAGACCGCACTGGGCCCCAGAGCTATGACTTACTGCAGGGCCCCCCATCACAATAATGATATATATACAGTATATATATATATATATATATATATATAAGCTTTAAATAGGATTTTTATCCCATATCAAAATTCTTGATGAACTGAAATTTTATAATTTTTGTTACCAATTTCAATATCACAAAAAATAATACTAGCCTAAGTAAAAATAAGCTTACTGAAGACAAGTAAACAGTCACAAATTAGGCTACAACTGA